AAACTTTCATTGTTCTACAATCAAACCTCACAACCACCAAATGCAGCCATCCCTGAATATTTCTTGATAAATGAAAGCATTGGAGAGTGCAAAACTTCTTTTTTTTTATTAGCGCCTACGCCATTAATGCTTTTTGCCTTAAAAAATAAACAGTGTTGCATATTGATGGATATGGATGTTCGTATGGGTGGGAGTAAAACTTAAAAAATTTATGTGATGTATGGATATATGTAGTAAGCGCAGACGAACTTTTCTCCCATCTATTACAAGCTTGACAATCGCTTGTACATATGTATACATATATGTACATACATAATTGGTTTGTTCCACACGAGCCCGCGGGATCCCGCGTGTGCTCAAAACAGTCCAGAAAGCGTTCCTCACGCTAGAACAATGGGTAATAGAGAGCGAATACCCCATCCACTTTCGGATCGTAAATGTCTTCTTCTTTGTGTCCGAAACAACCCGGACTTTTTTCCGGGCAGAAATGAGCAAGAAGTCAATTTCAAATAACAGCTGCTGTTTGTTTACATCCGAAAGCAAATTTTGTAAAATACAAAAATGGAAAATAGCACTAAAGTTTCAGAAATGTAGGTATTTGCTAATTTTATTAGTCATATAAGATAAATACTTGTTTAGAGCTGATTTGTTGATTCCGGGCACCAAATGTGGTTTTTTGCGTTCCTCACGCTCTGGGAACTTTTGGTATGTGTTGACACATTTTTGACACCAGTGAGAGAGTAACTTATTTTTACGCTCTAATTACCGAAACAGCTCGGAAAGCGTGTGGAACAAACCAAATGCATTATATGTATGTAGTTACAAGGTGCTGTATGTTTTGACAAGATGTTTCGTCATTTACTTAAAGTGGTATTTTGAAAGTATTTGAAAATATAAGAGGCCTGTCTGTAAGAATATATTAAATGAAGCACTCTTTGGATAATAAAACTTATACCAAATAAAACCAAATGCTTATTGCATACAAAAACTAGAATTTCCAAGTGTTTTTACTTTGTGTATAATAAATAACTTAAGAGAATAATTAAATGATTCTGCTGATTGCGGTATTTTTCGCGTCTGCCGTAGTCGAGTGGTTAGAGGTGCGGGTTTGATCCCTAGTCCGTTTATTTATTTTACTTCCAATTAAAAGATAAATTTTTGACTAATAACTTAACAATTAATATTCAATCATTCATTCATTAATTTTTCATTAACACAATGAGACCTTACATCTAGAAAATAAGTAGGAACTGACATTATTATTTATTACCAAATTCTCAATCAATTACAAGAACAAAGACAAAAAAACAAAAATTGTATTAGTTTAGTTAAACCTAGCGCTAAAATAGATGGCCAGGGAAAGCTACTCTGAAAAAATGTTATATAGGAGATGCTTATAGTTGATTTGGTTTACAATATTTCCCGTAGCAGCTGGAATGAAATTCTAAATACGTACGGCGTTTACGAAGAACAGCCTTGTAGAAATTAGATAATTAAAAAATGGTACAATTGAATTTCCAGACCGCATAGATTTACTGAAAATGAGCTTTCCATACATTACATATATGTAGGAGGTAGAAGGTGTTTTGGTTAAAATGAGACGGAATAATAAAATAACGTTTCTAATTTTCTGGTATTTGAATACATCACACCCTAAGAGCTGAGATCTCCGTGCCAATATGTGACCATATTTACGTTGCCCATAGACATATCGCGTTATGTGATTGAACGCAAAGTTAATTTTGTGCGCAGAACACGAGTCAACTAGTTGTAAACTTGCTCCGAATAAGTTATTATAGGTAAAATTAGCTGTTTGGCAAGCTTTTCTTGTTTCAGTTGGCGTAAAATGCGCTTGATTGTCTCAGGCTACGTAAGGTAGAGTATACCTTACCAACAACCCTGTTAATGTGGTCAATGCAAGTTAGACCGGAATTAATCACAAAGCCCAAGTTCTTAACCTTATTAACGATTTTTATAGTATTTTGGCCAATATATGTATATATATTTTAGGGATAGTACCTACTATTTCCTATTTTGCTCCTCGAAATCGGTAAGACGTACGACTTATCGGTATTAAGACAAAGGCCATTGCTTGCAGCCCAACACCTCATTGTTGATAAACAGGGCCGAAAAGTTTAAGCTTTTGCTTGAAATTGCTTATTTTGCTTATTCGGGGTTCCCAAGCTTAATTTTAACGATCATGCTTATTTTGCTTATTTCAGTGTATAAAGCTAAGTACAGACATCTAAGTAAAGGGTCACGAAATAAATTGCTATTATTTTGTGTGTGTGAATAGTAGTTTCCAAGGAGTTTTAACATCTGATATTTTACAGCCCGCTGTCTCACTTTTTCCTTAGATGCCTTGTACGCTTCACAAACAAACTTTAACAAACCATAGTAGAAAGCGTAAACAATTTCTTAAGAACTTCGTACTGCTTAAGAAAATTTGGATAAATAAAATTTTCTTGACCATTTCTTGGGCTTTTTTTTATTCGTCGAACTAAAAAAATGTTTCGACATAATAACATAAAAACAGATTTGGTTTTTCTTAATCCGTAACTTCAATTCCATTTCTGCTTGGATACAAAAAATTAAAACCAATGGTTCGTCTCTACGGAAAGGCAATGGTGTTATTGAAGAGATTTACATAATTTATCTCAAATGGAGAATAACGAATAGTTAAAAAAATTTAAAACGACCAACGCAGATCTCCGTTATTTGAGAATATCAATCAACACTTGTATGTCCATTGAAATTTTTCAATCCTTGAAATAAACTGAATAAAAAACAACACATTAAACTGTACTTATTTTTTTTTTTGTATTTGCAAGCATATTTATCAATGTTTTAGTGCTTATCTAAGCGCTTAAAATGGATTTTTTCGAGCTTATTTTCTTTGGCCCTGATGATAAATCATTGGTAACTTTAGTGCAAAGATGTTTTTAAAATAACCAGATAATTACATACATCTGAATTAAGTTCGGAAAATGAGTAGTTACAAAATTTTTTCATATTTTATTCAAATTTATTCTTTACTATTTCTCATAAATTCGCGATCAGTGTCGCACGACAACATCGAATGCTTTGACAGCACTTACAGCAAAAATTAAAATTTCTAGTGTAGCATGAGCCATTTCGAAATCGATTTGTGGTCTTTCAGTTGCAGTCATACCTTGCAACGTTTTTTCTGAAAAGTGACACAAAGGTCTTTCTTGCTGTTCACGCGTGGAAATAAAAATTCTCTCTCTTAATTTGACAGCGAATTGCTTGGAAAAGTTGGAAATATTGCCATGTCTGACACGCTCTGTACAGTTTAAACTGTGGCTGAAATAAATATTTAGGGGAAAAACAATACAATTCGCCACACAATCATTTAAACAGCTTAAATCGATTAGAAATGCTACTCGCTACTCGCTAGATTTATTCAACAATACAGTAAGTACCAGCAGCGTGAGCGTAAACACAAATTTGAGAGGAAGAGAAAACTTTCAGAAATACAGAGTTATTGAATGCAAAACCGAAAAACTCGCTCCACGCCATTGTGACACTTGTCGATGGGTAAGTTTTGGCGCTCAATTTCCATTTTTACCTGGGAATATGTATCACACATCGTCATAAAAAGCAAAACATTTACTTTGCAAGTCAATTATTCATCGCTATTTTCATTTCATTAATTTTGTTTTAAGCAAGCGTTCACACCAAATCTTAAATTAGAATTTGTTTAAAGAAAAAGAAAAATAACAAAAGAAAAAGCGCCTAATAAGTTTGTAGTCGAACACGCATCCATCCGGCTACAGCAGCTGTTGATGAAACATTCAATTCATTTTCAATATTTGTTTTTTGCCTGGAAACTTCCGTTTTGTATACCCATATATGTTTTGAAAAATTTCTACTACCCCGCAAACATATTCTGAGCGCTCAGAACATATGAGTCCGAAATGAGTCCTAGGTGGGTAAGAAATATGAGCTTAAAAAACGAAAAATGTGTGACTCTTAAATGAATCTTTTAGGGGTCATATATGATCCAAGTTATGAGCCATCACCTTGTGCCAGTTTAAAAATACAAAAGATTTGAAATTTATATCTAAACTTGTTTATACCCAAATTTAAAATAATTAGAAAACAAAAAATAAAAAAAAAATTTGGCTGCAGCTGCTGCTATTAAATGCACGTTGGAATGTATATATGCACGTAAGTATGTATGTATGCTATTTGAAAGAATATAGTGCGTTGAGTAAGACTCAAAGAACAACCTAAAAGAAGAGCCCTAATGTAGTCATTTATCAGCCCGATAAGAGCCTCAAAAAGAGTCTGAAATGATTCATATATGACGCCAAAAAATTGTTTTAATAGTCCGAAATGATCCCTATTTGAGCCCAATAAGAGTCCAATATGACTCATATTAAGGCTCATTTAATGTATGAATTTAAGCTCATATAAGTCGACCTACGGAAGAAGGGAAACACACTCTTATCGGGCTCTTAAATGAGCTCATTATGAGCGTAAAGGCTCCGAAATAGAACTCCCGTAAAGACTCATTTATGACTCCAAATGTTTGCTGGGCGTGAACCACGTAACTTTGAAACGATTGTCGTTCAAATGATACTGACAAAATGATGTCGTCGAAACACTGATTCATGCATTTGTTTTGCTGTTACGTGCTACTGTTACTGTTACGTGAAGCAAAACTAGAATTGAGTGGACGATATCGCACAAACGATCCAACAATTTTTGGTTTTCATGAAACAAGACAATCTCAGCACGATATCGTCCAGACGATTGTCGTCATACGTGATTCATGCCCTGAGTAGTACAATTTTTGCTTGCAAGAATTTGTAGCTATCTGGTGTTGTTACGCTCTCGCTTAGGCTTTCCCTTACACACTTTTTCGGTTATTGAATGCTTTTCCAGTAAAAACTTCCCATGTTCCCGACAAATCCAGAACGTTTTGCGGTTAAATTTGTTCAAAAACGTTGATATTTTATTTTCTTTTCTTGCAGACTTTGTTATCGGAAACTACGACGGACGATCAGCATTGGCCGCCGGAATTGATTCTATTGCGTGAGAAATTCACCGCCAAGAGTCAATTAAAAATTGCACAGCTACAAATCAAACATGAAGAAGAGGTATGATTGATATACATACATATGTACACTATATTAAGTTATCCACATTTAGGGGATTCACAAGACGTGTTAACCGTCGTAGAGATGGGCGCGGGATATGGGAACCCGCGAGACCCACGGTACTCATTTAAAAATAGCCGGGATGGGCGGTATCCGGGAGGTCTTTAAAAGTTTAGCGGGCGGGACGGGACCCCCGGCACTGCCGCTAAAACCCGCAACCTCCGCAAATTCAGAAACCTTCCTTAAACACACTTTTTTATGTTTTATTGAAACGAAAACGAGCAGCAAAGCGAAGAACGGAAGATGCGAGTACTTCACTATTTTTTTAAATTCAAAATTAATTTGAAAGACATGTGAATTAATGTTAGTGATAAATTTCGGGATCCATCTGAAAAATATCGGGATGGGCGGGTTCGGGACTTAAAATTTGATTTTCGGGAGGGGCGGAATCGGGATTGCATATTTAGTCCCGTACCCATCTCTAGTCGTAATGTCTTAAAGTCTTAAAATTTTTCAACGTAAAATAACGGTTAGAACATTTTCAGACAATTTGTAACTTCACCAAAATGTTTATAACTAATAGGAAATATACATATTATTGGCTCTTATTATACCCTAAAAATCTTTCAAAGCGCTTTTAACCTGTATTTACATTGAAGAATTTTAAAAATTTAAGACATTACGACGCTTAACATGACTTGTGAATCCCCATACTGTAATGAAGTGTTTTCCCCTCCCCCGTGCTTCTTCTCTAATGCTGGAATATACTCGCCGTACCCAGGGTTCATGATTCAATAATAGAAAGGTTTTGTATTAAAACAGTCTTCGCGCTCCCACACATAAAATCGGCTCCTTTACTTGTCCAGAATGTTGCTTATTCAACAGTTTATATTAGTAATAAAACCAAAAATTCTTCATACTAAATATTCGATGGCATCACCTTCGTTTACGTTATTTTCTGAAGCATGTGTAGAATAGCGACCGTTTAGCTATAAAATATCCAAAAATGCCGATTGATAGAACTTTTTACGCTGATTTCAACGATACTAATCTTATTTGGCGCAGGTAAAAACTAAAGAAGGTATAATAGATTTATTTGCCTTGCTTATTTATATTTTTTTTAACACAAAATTTTTGAAACCCAAAACTAGATCATGACAATATATGTATATCGAATTAAAGATAATAACTTGTACTTTCTAACTAATATACATTTCTTTACCATTAACTATGCATTTTTTTAAAAAAGTTCATTTCATGAAAAAATAACATTTGTTCTTTTTTTAGTGGTTTTAGTTCAGAAATATAAAAAGCATATCAATTATGTAGATCAGCTGAAAGACAAATTAATTATCTTTATTACTATTAGTTTTTAATTGGTTATGTAGTTCACAATATATAATATTTAAGAAATCTTAAACATTAACCTTCTAAACGTCTTAATTTTTTAGTTGCGTCAAAAATTTTGGCATGGTTGAAATGAGCGTAAAAAGATCTATTGATCTGCATTTTTCGTTTTTGCATAGCTGAACGGTCGGTGTTCTAGATTTGTTCCAGGAAATAAAGAATAACTTGAATTAAAAATGCATATTTTTACGTATTGTTTAGTATTTCCATTAAAACACCAAATATATTGCAAATTCGCATAGAATTAATAATACATATTTTACTTCTAATTGTATACTTTTCGTATTTTTTTTAGTACCTTTCTATTACCGTTCTCCTACCTCCAAAATACAAATCTAGATAAAGAAGTGTAAAATTTTAGCTGTCACAAATTACATAACCTTGCCCAGGGTTCATCTTTTAGTAAAATCGTCGTCGGGCGTACTTCGGTTGTTGGATCTCTGCGAGCGTTTCGCGGCTAGCTAACGTTTTGGCGTATTTCTGTCGAGTCTCCACTGCTGAGTGACGACGGCGCCTGCTGCAGACCACGGTTGCCAACCGTCCCGTTTTCGGCGGGACTGTCCCGGATTTTAGAGCTATGTCCCGGTCCCAGTACAACATATGCCGGGACGCAAAATGTCTCGGTTTTTGGGAAGAAAAAATTTTAGACTTCTCGTAAAAAAAATTAGAACTTTTAATATATATGTACAATAAGGTGGTCAAATTGTTCAGACGACAGTTTTTCGACGAATCGCATGGTATTTTCGGTTTCTCTAGATAATTCTAAGAGAAAATGTAGAAGAAACTATAAGTCGGACATGAGTCTCTTTTTTAAAAGAAAAATTTACTTGTTCTCAAAATTTTACTTTTTCGTTACATGCCGATTTTGGAAAGTGTTCACCTTTTACCGTCCAAAATCCGTGTCAAAATTAAAAACGCGCCACATATTGACAAGTTCTAACAATTTATTTTTTTGTCATTTTTAGTTATTTGTTTGTAAAGATATGGTCTACTCTTTAACAGCAGTCGTATAAATCTAAGTTTCAAACTCTGTACAATATTTAGAAAAAATTAGCAAACTTTTGTAAAAATTTAAGCCCTTTTAGATGAATTTCTTAGAAAGATTTTGGGTATAGAGTTTCGTGGTACACTCCGTGTTGTTAAAGTGCAATTAGCTAAGATTTACCGTCGAAAAAAGGCATTTTTGTATGGAAGAGGCACTGTCAGCAAAAAATTCGGAAAAATCAACGGTAAGTCCTGGACGCCTTCATATTAAGTTTTTGTTCTTAAAATACAAAAACCGTTTCTTTTTAATGTTTGTTAATCTTTTAAGTTACAAATTAGAAAAACAGATGTATTTCGCTACCTAAAGGTGAAAACGTGCCAAGTCCACTTTATTAAAAATTTAGTTTTTGATGCAGAATGACAAATAATGCGAAACTATATCGATTTTTCGTCTCTCCTGAACAACTTCAAAAAAATGGACTTGGCACATTTTCACCTGTAGGTAACGATTTGCTTTTTAAAAATGGTTTATACAAAAAACGAAATGTAAGAAACTTAAATACAGACATTTTATATGCAAAAGTTTTAAGAAAAAGTAAAAAAAAACTAATATTCTGAAAAGGTAATTTTTTCATTTAATAATGCGCTGGCTCATTTTCGAATCATGGTTTCTTCTATACTCTCTCTTAGAATTATCTGCAGAATCAGGAAATACCATGCTATTTATTAAAATCGACATTGGCCCAGCCTAGTGTACATACATTCATATACAAATGTTTACATATGCTATTAAAGTCAAGAATTGTAGTTACGAATTCATTTTAAACAAAGAATTCAAGCAGTGGCTGTTTAAACAAAATGAGTACACAAAGTATGTTCGACATTTTTTTGTTTGGAAGAAACTGCCAAAAATCAACGCGATTTTTTACCAGCTTCAAACAAGCACTTAGTTATACAACAGTGTCAACTTGTAGGCATATTTATTGAATTTTCCTGAGTTTTGCACACGAAGTTTAGATAAATTTTTATGTTTCTGTTGTAGTATGAACTAGGTTTTTATAAAACATTCGCGGAAAAATTTATGTAAAAAAGTTACATATGTACATTGTGAAAAATTCCCCTTGCCAAATACATACATATCGTCATTTAAAGTACAAAACCGCGTATCAGGATAATGCAAAACCGCGTATGTGAGGTTGCAAAAATTATTTTCTAGAGAGTAACAACGCTCATATTTCAAATTTTTTTTTTTTTTTTATAAAGCAATCGGATTTCTGACTAGTATATTTCAGGACGAATGGATAAGGATTGAGCCAAGAGCTTGTGTGACCAAATCCAATATTTGGCTGCAAATGTCAGTTACTCGGTTTTGCAGAATGACGATACCCGGTTTTGTACTTTAACGACGATATGTATGTATATAGAAATTTATAATTTGGTGTGATTTTTATTTCAACTTTAATTTATGTTTTAAATTAATTAAAAGTATTAGCATTGAAATTTTGTATCATGGAAATTTTTATCTATATTTTTTTTTGTTTTTTTTATGTTTTCTTATTTTAAATAGAAAATGTTCAAATATACAGCAATGAAGTTGATGTCCCGGTTTCAATAATGCAAAAGTTGGCAACCGTGCTGCAGACTGATGTCAGCGTACCTCTGCCGGCGCTCTGCTGCTGACAAACGTCGGCGCAGACGATCTGGTGTCGGCTGGTCGCGGATTCACGTTGGCTGCGGTGGGACGGCGAAGGTTGCGAACGTGCTCGTAAGCGTATTGGACCTTGACGATTTGGTGTTAGAAAGACAAAAGGTCATGTCGTCGCTCCCAACGAAGAGTAGCACATCTCAAATTACCGTGGAAGACATTATTCGCGTCGAACAGTATAGCACATTTCAGATTTTCGCGTGGAAGACTAGCACATTTCATTATTCGCGTCGAAAAGTAGCACATTTCAGATTTTTGCGGGGAAGACTAGCACATTTCACTATTCGCGTGGAAGAGTAGCACATTTCAGAATTTTGCGTGGAAGAGTAGCACATTTCAGATTTTTGAGTGGAAGAGTAGCACATTTCACTATTTGCGTGGAAGACTAGCACATTTCAGATTTTTGCGTGGAAGAGTAGCACATTTCAGATTCTCGCGTAGAAGAGTAGCGAATTCATATAAAGTGGTACTAGCAGCCGTACAAAAACCAAACATACATGTATGTTATAATTATTTCTCCTCGACTAAGCTGAGAGTTTAATGTTGTGTATGGAGCTTTTCGGTATTTTATTACAAATAGAATAAACCTTTATTTTCCTCCTACTTGTTTTGACGCATATTTCCTCAGGGAATTCCAAACCATTTATACGAAAAGTTGTTTTTCCCCATATAAAAATACATGGAAAACTTTGAGCGACCTCTAAATATTTTTTGATTTTAAAATAAAAAATAGGGGTACACTATTTTCTATATGGAACAATTTTGGACCACCCTAATGTACATGCAGTCATGTCAAGAGCACCTCATTTCAAAGTGATATTGTTTTCCACTTATGTTCATTTATTTATTTTTAAGAATTTTCATTAGAATAAAGTTCATTCTCTGACGAAGTCCGTATAAATCC